TGCCAAGGCACGTTGCCATGGAGATGAAGGCTGATATCAATGCCAAGAAGGAAGATATGATGTTCCACAAGATCTACATCCAAAAACACGACAACGTTAGGTAATACACGTGTGTGTTTCCACATAACAGCACTAACACAAGCTTAGGAAGATGTCGGAGAGCTTGTCTACTTTGCTATCGCAGCTAGCACCAGTGGCTTTGACCTCACTCTGCTGACTGATGTGTCAGTTACAGAGTCACTCCAACAGCTATTTCCCTGACAGCATGTATTATGCATGTTGTTGTTTATTGACACTGACAGCACTGGCTGCAGTAACGATATTGACTTAGGCACACTGCTGTGCTTTCTGTAGCAAATGATAGGAGGCAGTCCGCAAGTTTGCCGGCCCCCTGTCTCAGCCTTCACCACTGGATTTCACCTCCCGAGTGGGAATAACTCAGTACTAACAGGTGACTGAAACTCTCCATCCTTTAGCCTACTGTTGAGCCCAGTCGTAGTTGTTCAGGTTGCGGTGACAATGGTGGTAGGGGACAATGAAACGAGGTTGCAGCAGAGATCTCCTGTCAGAGGTGACCCAAATAGGTGCAGGTGTTGCACTTAGTGGAATAATCTGTTGCAACGCCGTTGCTCTACCACGGTGTAAACTTACAGGAACAATCCATTATCCAAATGTAACACAAGATTAAAACCAGCTGCCTTTGTCTTAAATTGATGCACAAGTTATTTTTAACACCAAACAGCTGATGTTATTAATGTTTTCTGATGGTGTGTTTACATCACTAAAGTTTGCAAAACAGGGCCATATTTGGAATTATGGTCAGTCCACAGATCCTCAAAATGTGTTTTGGAAGTGACTACGTATAATTTTATACGGTAAAAAAATTACTGATTGGGCCAGTTCAGAAACAGAAGCATGTGTCAGTCAGTACAATGGAGCTCAACTGATTATTTTGTTCGTGGTGTTTACATAATTGAAAATTTACTACAGCTAAATCTACAGAAAAAAAATAGTCACTCTTGATAATCCACAGATCAGTACAGAAAGAAGTAATAGAAAGTAGTTCCAATTTAAACTGCTCATAGTGGCTCCAAACTTGGTTAAATAAAACAAAAAATTAGGCTAGATACCTCAATGGGTAAGTGAGAAAATATGACCCTTAATAGGATAATCTCTTGCGTCATGGCTCACAGTTTTGGTCAGGGTGGGAGATGCAGACAGGCACTGGACTGCTTTAATTAAGGGCTAGTTCTCCCCCCAGTGGCTGACCTCATGGGACCACCAGCGCCACCTGTCGCCTTTAGCTGGAACTCACAATGTCTGCAGTGTTGTTTACCCTAGCCTTTCATTACTATCAAAAGTTAGCAATGAAAGGCATGCAGACAGGGGGACAGGGGGTGGTGTTCTCAGAGGGACGGGCTGGAGGAGGTGACCTACATTGGCCTAGATGATGAGAGCCAGGGCTGAACAAATGTCTGCCTCTCTCCCTCCCCTGCTCACATGGCAGCTGGACAGTGAGGAGGGAGGGAGGCGCTAGACCATGCTAACTAACTCTATACTTTATTGATTAATCTCATTCTCTGTCTCCTTTGTCTTTCTTTCCCTCTCTGTCTGTTTCCCTCACCGTCACCCTCTCCCTCGCCACCATCACCTCTTCTGCAGCATACTGTTTGCAGACATCGAGGGCTTCACCAGCCTGGCGTCTCAGTGCACGGCGCAGGAGCTGGTCATGACGCTGAACGAGCTGTTCGCTCGCTTTGACAAGCTGGCCTCGGTGAGCGCTGACAACCTGCCGACGCCATTATCACAGCAGAACTTTGAACCACTGTTGCTTATGTAACCTTATATTCTGTAGCCTTCACTGTTAGTATGACAAAGCCAGCATGATGTACTTGTTGGTGGGGGGTGTTACTTAAGCATTGTGTAAGACATCAATTAGACTATGCTGAGACCGATGAGTCATCTTATGCATAAAAAGCTCTATATTTGACATGAGCATGCTGTGTATTAGCTGTAATTGAAGGCCTAATATGTGTGCGTGTGTGTGTCCTTGCTGTACAGGAGAACCACTGCCTGCGTATTAAAATCCTAGGGGACTGTTACTACTGTGTGTCAGGACTGCCTGAGCCACGGGCTGACCACGCCCACTGCTGTGTGGAGATGGGAGTAGACATGATTGAGGCCATCTCGTGAGTCAAACAAACACCAATTAAGACCCACACTTAAAACAACACACACCCTTAGAGTCATATAGTATTATTCATTCTATGAAGGTTAAGTTAGGGTTTCTTGCTTTGTTTACGCTGCACGGGGTGTTAAAGAGAAGCTGTGAAGCTGAAGGTGACACTAGTTTTTTGACAATAGGGTGTGTGTGTGTGTGTG